TGGTTCTTTGAATTCTATTGTTGAAGTGTTATCTTTGATTTTCTGTGAACTGGAAGATGTATCTGTGGTAATGTTTGCAATATTTTCTGCATAATCATTTTCTTTTTCAAATTCAACGTCTTTTGGTTCTTGGAATTCAATGGATGAAGTATTAGCATTGCTTATCTGTAAGTTGGAAGTATCTGCAATTATATTTGCAATATCATCTGCTTTATTTTCTTTTTCGTCCCTTACAATTTCTTCAATCACTCCATGGATTTCATTGATATTAGAAGAATCAATTTTACTGTTTCCAGAAATTTCTGGAGCTGATCGATTTTGTTCTTCGTTATCTTCTTGTACCGATAGCTCTGAATCCACCGATGTATTTTCAAAGATAGCACGAAGTTTTCTTTTATTTCGTCTTTTTCTTCTCCCCATTATATTTTTTTGATTAGTTTATAAACTTAGAATATTTTTTATTTTTAGAAAATGAAGCACATTTAAATAAAAATATATTCATTCAAAATTAAATGGGATTATATAAAATGGTTTGTTTTAATCTGCGACTATAATATTGAAGAAAAAAACGATAATATTAAAAAAAGTTAAATTATTAATTGAAATGAAAAACGATTAATAAAAAAATATGTAAATACTAATACATTAATAAAAATAATTTTGTAGCGCCTTATATATATTTGTGTGTAATTGTTACAAACCGATGAAGGGGGAAATAATTAAAAAGATAATACCAAAACATAATTAAAAGTACTTCTTAAATCAAAAAGTAAACTTGCCCATTACGCCGGCAAAAGTAAAATTGGTGAACGTGGTCAATACAGAAGCACATGACTTACCCACGTGATATTAGTTTCGCGGCGTACCGCTCAGCGGCGCTTTTGTAACTCACGCCTTAATTTAATAACAAATGATCATACCGCTTGCTCGTTTCTAAATAGTAAATAACTAAATCTTTCTTAAATCGAATTTTTCTTTTATATTATTAAATGTGAATAATATATATATTTTTTGAATTCTAAAAGAAAAAGTACGTTTAAAAATAATTTCAATTTATATATATATATTTCAATTATACCACACTTTCATTTTAATTTTAAAACATAATGGAAATAAAATAAAGAATTTTTATAAAAAGTATATTTTAAAATATCTAGAAATATTAATTTTATAACTATTTTTATTAACCAAACTTCTCTCTTAAAACGTATATAAAATTTTAAAAATATAACCGATAATAAATTATAAATAAAAAAATACAGAGATATATTCGAAACTATTATAGACGTGTATGATTCTTTTAAAAATAAAATAATTTTTACTGCTCTTAAAATAATCTATAATAGTTTCGAATTTTCATAACAGATGGCGCGCTAATGCATCATACTATAGATATATAACGTTTATAAATATTCTCATTGAATTATATATATTTTATTAGAAAAATTCCATTATATAAATATCTTGTTTAAAAAAAACTTGTTAAAATCAATTTAAACATGTTATAAAATTTACAGTTTTGAATTTAAAGCATTAAAACTTTCATGTTTCAACTCATAAATCTTAAAATATGTAGTGCTATACTTAATGAAAATTTTCAGTTTAATTATCTGTCATTGTGAATAAAATAATCTTTTGGGCACGTTCATCAAGAGACTTGATTCTTCCAAACCCAAAAGTGGGCATAATTAAAATAAATAAAATGAATTCCATAATAATTAAATTTCAGTACGAGCTAAGATGCAAACAATATGGAGGCAAATAATCAATAATAACCATTGTTATCGGGGTTCGATATAGAGGAATGGTAAAATTGTCCATTTTCGACACCCATGATCCAGAATCGAATCCCGTATTGGACACTTTTTTTTTTTTCTTAAAAAAAAAAAAAAATTGCTTCAATGGCCTCGGTTCTTACAGTATTCCAACCCCACCATTGAGTACAAGTAACCAAACAGGACTCTGTCACACTTGTAAGTGAAAAAGTCAATCTTGTTTTCTACATATGTAGACATTTAATTAAAAAGGCAATATATTGGATCAAAATATAATTTATTTTACCAATATTTCAGTTGGCTGAACGCCAACCTTTATCACAAGGTATTATAACATTTTAGCATATGTAGACATATTGGCGCACTTACAGTAAAAGCAGTCGCTAATTACCCACCATGATTATCATGGCTGTGGTACTAAGTATACTAGGGATATGTAGACCAACATAACATTGTTATCCTTGGTTCTCCTTTAATATCTTAGAGTGTTGTAAAAATATTATCTCAATATAAAGGCATACAGCTTTGATGGTGGAATTTTTGTTTCAATGGATAAAAAATTTTGCTTTTGGAGAAACTCCATGTTTTGCATCGTGTATTTTAACGTTATTTTATGTTAGAAAGATGTTTCCTCGATATAACGTTTGTTTATGAATTAAGAAAAGAGTAACTCATGGTTGGTTGATATTCATTCTGACAGATGGCGCAAACTATCAGTAACTTTCAGTTTCCAAAATAAGGAGATGCTTTTTTATTAAGGCATCAATCTGATCCCAGTACAGTTTCACTTAGTACACTTTTTTTTTTCAAATTGTTTTTTATGTGAATTTTCCTTATAAAGTTTAAATCTATACATATAGGAAATGAAACCATTAAAACACGAGATTTTCTTTTACACATAGAAATAATTTAATTAAAAAGGCATACGAGGTGTGTTCAAAAAGTATCGCGACTTTTGTGTTTTTTCAAAAATTATTTATTTATTCATGAATACCTATTTTGTCCCCTTCAAAGTAATCCCCATGAGATATTATACACTTGTGCCAACGGTTTTTCTAATCTTCGAAGCACTTCAAAAAATCATTTTTTAAAAATCTTTTTCAGCTCCTCCTTCTATGCCGTCTTTATCTCGTCAAGCGTAGCGTAACGTCGTCCTTTCATGGGCCTCTTCAATTTAGGGAACAAGAAAAAGTCACAGGGGGCCAGATCTGGGGAATACGGTGGCTGCGCGGCATCATTAGTGTGTTGTTTTTGGCCACAAAGTCGCGCACAAGCAACGATGTGTGAGCAGGGGCGTTATCGTGGTGCAAAAGCCAATTTTTGTTCTTCCACAAATCCGGGCGTTTCTGGCGGATTGCTTCGCGCAAATTGCGCATAACTTGCAGGTAATATTCCTTATTGACCGTTCTACCCTGTGGCAAGAACTCATGATGCACCACGCCCCTGCAATCGAAGAAAACTGTCAGCAAAACTTTCACATTCGACCGAACTTGGCGCGATTTTTGCGGTCTTGGTTCGTGCGGCAGCTTCCATTGAGATGATTGAGCTTTGGTTTCCACGTCATAACCATAAACCCACGCTTCGTCACCAGTTATGACCCTCTGGAGCAAATTTGGGTCGTCGCGGACAGAGTCCAACATCTCATTAGCAATGTTCATGCGATGCTGTTTTTGGTTGCAATTGAGCAATTTTGGTACGAATTTCGCGGCGACCCGTCTCATGCCCAAATCATTGATAAAAATCGAATGGCACGAGCCAATCGATATGTTTAGGTCCTCAGCAACTTCTCTAACGGTGATTCGACGATTGGCCAATATCATTTTCTCCACTTCATTAATTTTTTCGTCTGTTGTTGAAGTGCTCGGGCGTCCTGCACGCTCTTCGTCGTTCGCATCTTCTCGGCCTTCTGAGAACACTTTGTACCACCGATAAACGTTGCTTCGGTCCAAGGTAGCTTCTCCGTATGCCACAGTCAACATCCGGAATGCATCCGCGCACTTAATTTCGTTTTTCACACACAATTTGATACAGGTTCTTTGATCCATTTTTTTTTAATTGGTAAAAATCGAAGACGATCCAAAACACCTGCAAGCAAAGCAGCTGTCAGCAATTAAGTGAACATTCAAAATGGACGAGCTTGTCGGCATAAGTGAGAGACATGAGTACCAACACAAAGCCACAAAAAGATCGAAATTCGAATATACGTAACCCGCGAAAATTCAAAAGTCGCGATACCTTTTGAACACACCTCGTACGTAACCCGCGAAAATTCAAAATTCGCGATACTCTCTGAACACACCTCGTATATATATTGGATCAAAATATCATTTATTTTACTAATATTTAAGTTGGCACATTAATTTGTTATAATACTTTGAAAAAAGTTAGCGTTCAGGCAACTGAAATATCGGTAAAATAAATTATATTTTGATCCAATATATGCCTTTTTAATTAAATATATACTAATATTTCAGTTGGCACATTAATAGGTTATAATTCCTTGAAAAAGGTTGGCCTTCAGCCAACTGAAATATTGGTAAAATAAATGATATTTTAATCCAATATATGCCTTTTTAATTAAATATATACTAATATTTCAGTTGGCACATTAATAGGTTATAATACTTTGAAAAAGGTTGGCGTTCAGCCAACTGAAATATTGGTAAAATAAATGATATTTTAATCCAATATATGCCTTTTTAATTAAATATATACTAATATTTCAGTTGGCACATTAATAGGTTATAATACTTTGAAAAAGGTTGGCGTTCAGCCAACTGAAATATTGGTAAAATAAATGATATTTTGAGCCAATATATGTCTTTTTAATTAAATATATTTTTATGGATGGCTCTATTTAAAATATATATATATATATATATAAATTGTGTAAATAACATTGTTGATTATTGTTACTATTACAGCTATATATTCCTGTATATACCCTCTTCTACTCGGAGAATATCTGTATAAGACCAAAAAGGTCTTAATAACGCTCTTTGTTTCTCAGTAAGGACAGTAGAAGTTTGTATTATGTATAAAAGAAACATTCGTGCTTTTAAATCCTTTCATTTTATATGTATAGATGGCGTGTTATTGCTTTGTGTTAAGCTTTTTTTTTGTTTGTTTATAAGGTTTGAATCTGATTTTTATCACGCTTTCTTCTGTAGAAGGTCTCTAATACCTGAAAGCTAGAGATTTGTAAATTAAAAACGGAAAAATATGTCCAGGGTAGCCTAGTGGACATGGCATCTGCCCGGTAAGCTGAACATTGTGGGTTCGATTCCCATCCCTGGAAACTTTTATTTTTCCGTTTATCATTACTCTTCACAATTCATCCTTTCATACTTCATCCTTAAGGTTAGAAATAATCGTTATTTCTCTTTGAAATAAAATTTGATTTTTCATTGAAAAGAAACACATGCGGGATAATTTTTAAATGTCGTTTTACAATCACAAGCCGCATTATAAATTAAAAAATATTTATAGAAACTTATTCCTGGAGGTCTGGTGTTTTGAACTTATATCGGGGCGTCATTGTATTTTGGGAAATGAAATTGGTGACAGAGAGATCTACAAGGAAGTAACGTCACACAGTTGGCGTCAATCAGGTAGTGCAGTGACGTCGCTGGCAGAAATGATAGGTGGCGCTTGGTTCCTCAGCTCGTGCTGTTGCCGGCGGCGGACCCTCCCGGTACCTCCACCGCCAAGGTTCGTTGTCCCTCCCGCCTACAGTTCCGCCGAGTCCTCGAGTGAAGCAGGGCCTGAAACTCTCCAACGTGGACTCTATCGAAGTCCTACAGCTGGTGAGGTTGGACTTTTGATCCAGCGAGGACTTGGTTCTCAACGACTGACTGTGACAATCACAAAGGCTCGTGGACTTGTGCTTCGTGTCCTTCCTGGAGCATCGCCATGTGTCTACATCAAGGTGATCTAACCTCTTTATTTATTTATTTATCCCTAGTACACGTGGTCATGATAATCATGATGGACAGTAATTAGCGACTGCTTTTTACTGCAAGTGCGCCACATGTCTACACTTGACGAAAGCAACTCGACTTTTACACTTACAAATATGCTAGAGCCCCATTTAGTTACTCGCATTCACTGGTGGAATTGAACTTTTGAAAGAATTGGGGGACATTAGAGCATTTTTTTATTAGAAAAAAAGTACCCCAATGCGCTCGCGGGATTCAATCCCGGGTTGTAGTGTTCGAAAACCAACGGTTTAGATCAGTGATTCTCAACCTTTTTTTTGTTGCGGCATTATTTTAAAGATTTGAAAATTTGGCGGCACAATTTTAGAATTTCGCGGCACACTTTTGCTAACTTGAATGCAAGAAAATTCAAATTATGTATCAATATTTCTATGCAAAATATAAGTAATATACATCTCTAACATTCAATTTGCTAATTTCGTTATTTTAAAAAGTAAAAAAATGAAAAAGAAAAACCAATACAAACGTGAACATAATCATATGACTAAAATTCGGCGGCACATTTTTAGAATTTCGCGGCACACAAAATTACCGCGGAACATTGGTTGAGAATCACTGGTTTAGATAGACCACTATCTTTCCCTCTCGTCCACCGATCCCCCCTATCTTTATTTGAAATTAATTTAGTTTTAGAAATTCTCAAATATGACTGTGTGTGTCGGGGTGAGGAAAAACTCGTTAATTAAGCCTTCCGAAAATTCGGGTTTATCCATATTGATTTTATTTCAGATGAATCAGTTTTAAGACTGTTTTACCTCCTCAATCAGACTTCTCCAAGATGATCAATCCATAGTCTGGTAACTTGATTGTCTTGGTTTATTCATTGAGGATTGTCACGGTGAAAATAACACGATGGTTTACTCTTGTCTTCCACATCCATATACCGTTGTTGTAGATTCATCTACCTTTAGAAGCCATTTTCAACTACAAGGAATGTCCATCCTCCATGCCTTATCGTTAGAGAGCATCAGAAATTCGAAACTTCCATAAAAGACCGTCCAAAAACAACATATTGCCACGTGGAAAATTAGGAAAGACAAACCTCGGAAATATATTTATTTACGGGGCTGCTAACCAGAATGGATGATTTTTGAGCCCCGAAATACAAACCTCAAGTTCTTGAATTCCGGGCTAATTGGCCTTTGTGGTAAGGTCTTCTAGTCCCGAAAGACAAACCTCAGTATGAGACAGCAATTTATTTGAGGCAAGAACAAACTATGAATGATAAACAAAAGATAAGCAATGAGGGAAGTTTACAGAGTAGCAAAATATAAATACAAGGTATGTCCCATAAGTTCCCGGACTGGGTCCATAAAAAAAAAAGGGTAAGATTTTTTTTTAATTTTTTGACGTGACAACGTCTTAAATTAGGTTGCGGCTGGGAGTCACTTATGAAAAAGTGTAACGCCCGGTAACGTTACGATGAGTCATCGAACGAGAGTGCTGCGCGCGCAGCGCTAGAGAATTAGGCGCATTGAATCGGCGCATGCTTGTCTCTGTCTTTGTCTTTCTCGAACGTTCTTGGCGTTGGAAAAACAAGAAAGCGTCATAATACAAGTTCACACGTGTGGTTAAAGTATCGTCAGCTGTGTCTGTAGTGAAAATGTGGAGTGCTTAGATTCGTCATTTACAACAACTACAACAATAAAGGTAAATAATTGTACACTGATATTTCATTATGGTAAACTATGATTGATTGATTAATTGTTAGATTGACACAAAAGTTGAGAAACTGAGTTTATAGGTTATGTCATACTATTGATAAATGTTGATAGTGTTAAGTAAATTATTAGTTTAAAATTAATTAATTAATTAATTATTATTTTACAAATTTTAAATAGTTTCAAATTTATTTAGCAAAAATTTGAACCTTCGATCTGAATAAATGTTTTGATTTTCGAATTGATTCTTTAAAATTACAAATATTAAGAAAAAGTGGCAGATATAAGAAAACTTTATTTAAACTGTGTTGAGCAAGAATTTTAACATCTAATTTAAGTAAATGTTTTAATTTTCAACTTCATCATTTACAATTACAAATTTTATTTAATTTCAAATTTATTTAGCAAAAATTTGAACCTTCGATCTGAATAAGTGTTTTGATTTTCAAATACCAACGCGGCTGGTGGAGTGGCGATCTATCGTAAATTATCATCGACATCTACGGCGGAAGTGTTCCAAGTTGCGATTACAGACGTAACTCGTGTCATTAAAACCAAGGGTGACATGTGCATGACTGAAGTTACTTGCTTCGCCGCTAATACTAGCTTCAAGTTTATACTCTGTGCTGTATATATTCATCCAGGAGCTAGTATGCAGGATATTGGAATGTTACTATGGCAAGGACTCGGTCCGTACATTTACAACAGCCAGTACGTGCCACCGTTCGTACAAGTTGATTCTAGTATACCGATTCTTCTGTGTGGTGATTTTAACAAAAACGTAAGCCTGACAACTCGTTTCTTAAATTCATGAAAAATACGTATAATCTTGATTGCGTATCAAACGTTTCTAAGTCAACTACGTTAAAAGGAACAACTATCGACTTGACTTTCGCAAGACACATTACAGCAGAAACACTTCCTTTCATTTCATATTTCTCCTATCATCGTCCTATCCTCAACAAAATCACTCAAATAGGAATTAGTTAAGTTTAAGTTTACATGTACAATGTTTTAGTAAACAAAATATATTTCTATAGTTAAAATTTGTGCAATTCTTATTTTCATTCAATTCCTTGTTCCTATTGTGCAATTTAATTATATTCATATCAATAAATATTCTACCGTTGTCACGTAAAATCTTCGCCCGTAAAACCGACTTTACAGGCAACCATTTTTTATTAAAACTTTTCAAAGTAATCCCCCCTTGCTTCAATGCACCAGCGCCATCGTTTCTCCCAATTGTCGAAACAGTTTTTATAGGCCTCTTTTGGAATGCTCTTCAATGCCAGCAGCGATTTTTCTATTATGTCTTCCCTGGTGTCAAAATGTCTTCCTTTTAGAACTGGGGAACAGGAAAAAGTCATTTGGTGCGATGTCTGGGGAATAGGGTGGTTGAGGTAGGATTTCTGTCCCGTTTTTCGCCAAAAAACTCGTCACCAAGTGCGCTGTGTGAGGGCGGGCATTGTCATGGTGTAGGATCCAGTCACCATTAGTCCATTTTTCTGGCCTTTTTTTTCGAATCGCTTCCCTTAGACGGCGAATAATGCTCAAATACATTTCCTTAATAACTGTTTGGCCTGCAGGAAGATACTCGTGATGAACAATGCCCTTGTTATCCAAAAAAGCGACCAGCAACACCTTGTTTCTGGATTTCAATATCCTGGATTTTTTGGGTCTAGGCTCACCCTGACCTCTCCACTCGGCAGATTGACGCTTGGTTTCAGGGTCATAGCAATAGACCCATGTCTCGTCGCCTGTGATTATCTTGTCTTTCCATTCCGGATCCGTTCTTGTCATTTCCAGCATCTCCTCACAGGTTGCAAGCCGACACAGTTTTTGCTCATTAGTGAGGAATCTTGGGATGAATTTTGCAGGAGTCTTTTTGAGCCTCAAATCTTCGGTTACGATCCTTCCAATCGTTGTTTTAGAGATGCCTGTGTCTTGCTCTAGCTCCAGCAAAGTGGTTCGAGGATTTTCTTTTATCAAATCGGTGATTTTTTTGCACATTTTCATCAGTCCTTTGAAATGTTGGGCGTCCTTGACGAGGATCATCTTCAATGGAAATTCTGCCAGCTTTAAATCTAGAATGCCATTCAAAAACAGTTGTTCTCTTTAGGGCGTTATTGGGGAATGCTTTATTAAGCATTTCAAAAGTGTCGGTTGCTGATATTTGAAGTTTCACACAAAATTCTATGCAAATCCTCTGCTTCAATTTTTGTTCCATCGTAAAATCGCCGCAGCGCAAGGTGTAACCTTTAAATAAATTAGAATAACTTTGGCGCGCGCGCACGTACCGCCTCGATATTGGTACCACCGTGTTGCCAGATATTTTTCTATAATAAACTGTCAAATTTATTAACATTTTTCATTTTTTTTTTTTATGGACCCAGTCCGGGAACTTATGGGACATACCTTGTATAAAAATGATACTCTGTTAATTAAAATAATAAATTCTTCGTTATAATATAAATATAAATATACCTACGATTTTAGGCTGTTCAATCTCTTTGTGAAGAAGACAAAGTTTATCGAAAGTTTACAAAAGGTTTTTTTTTTTAATGAAAGAGCGATTAAAGGGATTAGGAATTACACGATAAATAAGACCAAATTCAAAATGATCTTGTAGTTCTAATCTA